TTTCATCACCATTTATGGCTACAACTTCCAATGATTGCAAGTGAGACATCTTTCCAATGGAGGCGCATAGATCTTTCCCTTGTTTTCTAGCCAGTTTTTGAATGCCCAACCTTCTTAACTGCTTCAAATTCCCTATTTCTTTAACTAGGCTATCTGTTGCCTCCACAGTATACAGTTTTTGCAAGTTTCTCCAATGCTCGATCCCCTCATGAATCATCACAGCTCGTTTTGTAGTCCGACCCAGCTGTTTGTTGTTGTGCAGATTGTATGCTAAAAGATTTCTAAGCTTTGGAAGCTTATTGATTGAATATGGTATCTCATGCACTAGGGATTGCTTCAAATCTAGAGTCTCCAGGTTCGCAAGCTTCCCAATGGATTTCGGAAGAATCTTCACTCGTGTATTCCTCAAGCTCAAATACTTCAAGTGATACATGTATCCAACTTCCTCAGGGAGATGGTCAAGCAAACTATCTTCAAAGTCTAGTACTCTCAACAACTTGAATCTTTTGTACAAGTTTCTACAACTAGTCAAAGGATTTTGTGGTCCACCTATGCCATTGAAAAAACACAAGGAATGGGCACGAGAGCTTCCAATGCTACCAAAACTATTATATGCATTGCTATCAACAGACAGGTGCCTGGAATTTTCATTGAATCTTGAATCTTCTTCCAAAAATTGTGAGAAGCTCAAATCTCGAGTCTTTAAAAGGATCACGGCCTCACGCATCACATCATGGACTTGACATTCTCTACGCACCCCTCTTTCATCAACATATGACACTTGTACTAGGCTTCTTTGAATAAGCTCGGCCAAGTATTCTTCCGCAACCTCTTCCAATGTTTTGCCTCTCTGCTCTTGTATAAACCCTTCAGCGATCCATTGCCGAATTAGTGTAGAACATCTCACGGGGCAATTTTCTGGATATGTCCCAAAGTATAAGAAGCAAGGTTTAAGTCGATGAGGTAAATCATGATAGCTAAAAGAAAGAATTTTTGTGACATTTGTTAAATGAGGATTAGACTCTAGCTCAGAGCCAAGACTATCATGTAATTTTCTCCATTGAGGCACATCCCCACCTCTGGTAGATAAAAGTCCACTTATAGCCACAATTGCAAGAGGCAATCCTCCACATCTGCTCACTATTGTAGTTGCAAATTTCTTCAACTCTGGTGGACAATATCCACTTGAATCTCGGAATGTCTTCTTGCAAAAGAGTTCCCATGCCTTATCTGGAGATAATGGCTTAAGGTCGTACACTTGATCAGAAAAAGCTTCTCTGCAAGAAGCAGCAACCTCACCCTTGCGTGTTGTGATAATTATTCTGCTACCATTGTTGTTATCAGGTAATGCAAGCTTTACACACCCCCACAAGTTTGTACTCCAAACATCATCAAAGACAACTGCATACCTCTTTTCCTTAAGATATCCTCGTAGGGTGTGAATCAACAATCTCAAATCCATGTTTTCAATTCCCTCTAGAACAGACTCATTCCTTGTCCTGTGGAATTCTGTGATCATGTTTCTTAGTATGTCTTCGTTCTTGTATGACTGTGACACTGTAATCCAAGCACGCCAATCAAACCATTCTGTGAACCTTGAGTTGTCGAAGACTTTCTTGGCAAGAGTGGTTTTTCCTAGACCGCCCATTCCAACTACTGAACTAACTGAACGTCTAGATGCTACCTCTCCTCCAATTGACCAACCTATTAATTTATCTCTCAAAGTTTGAATACCAACGAGTTCAGCTTCCTCTGTGTAAAGGGAAGTCATTTGTTGGTCAAATGACGTGTTGTCTCTTCTTGAAGAGCTAAATGAAATTTTTTGTGTTGAATTGAAGCCATATGCTACACTTGTTTTCAAAATTTCGCGAATGCGTTTTTTGATAAGTTGAATCTTCAAGGATATCTCATGGCGAGTAAATAGCCCTCCGACAATGTGAGTCGTTTTATGAAGAAAACCACTCAATCCTTGTTTATCACGATTGCGTGCAACGTGATGCATGTATTCATCAATGACATCTTCTATATGACTAGCCATCTCTCTTGTTTGCTTCACCCAAGTTTTCACGCCGCTACTGTTGTTTGCCCTTTGTGCTTTTTCATCTGCATCCCTTAGGAAAGACGTCATGCTCTCTAGAAGATCTTTTATGCTTGTAACCTCGTCATGAATACCTCTCAGCAAGTTCCCTTCTTCCGTTAACAATGAAACCAACTTGTCAATGACAATGATCACTGCAGTCTCGGCCATTGCTCAGCTCTCTAACGATATAAAATAAGACAAAAGAATTATGTACGACATGTATTGAAAGATTGAACCAATTCTAAGTTTTGTGATATCTTATCTTGTTTAATACAAAGAAAATAGATAGTTATATATATATTGGCAAAATGCCACTTGTAGTCCCTATGGTTTCATTTTCGTCACTTCGGCAATTATGGCTTTCAATTCCAAGCAATTCGAGGACACTTCTCAATTTCCGTAAGAGTCTTCCTACTTTCATTACAGTTTGAGGGTATTACTATAAAATCTTGCCATTTTAGGTACAAGAGACAGTGCCTCTTCTTCTTTATTCGAATTAGGCGACTGCAAACCAAATTGGGATTTAGGATTTGAGAAATTTTTTAATTTCCTCATTGTAATTTGTTCAATTGATAGAGGATTTCCAGTCGCCTAATTCGAATAAAAAAGAAGAGCCAACGTCTCTTGTATCTAAGATGGCAAGATTTGGCAGTAATACTCCTCAAGCCCTAACGAAAGAGGAAGAATCTGACAAAAATTGAGAAGTGTTCTCAAATTGATTGGAATTGAGAACCACATTGGCAAAAATGACGAAATTGAAACCACAGGGACTAAAATTGATGTTTTGTCATATATATTTGTTGTATTTTCTCTCATAGTTATTTACACTAACATCCCTTGAGCTTTTCAGTATTTTCATAAAACTCCTTAAGGTTTTCGGTGTTTTCACAAAACTCCCCGAGGTTTCAAAAATTACACGAACACCCCCCTGAGGTTTTAAATTATTTTCACAAAACACATTTTTGTTTATTTTCACAAAACCCATTTTTGTTTATTTTTTGTCCAAAAATTGATGATTTTATATCATGATAATAAAAATTCTGCTAATGACAAATTTAGCTTTTGAGATTAGATTGCACATACATTTATTTAGGTTAACTTTGTCATTTGCATGAGTTCTTTTTTTTCTTTTTTATTTATTTATGAAATCATCAATTTGAATGATCAACAAAAATCAATGAAAATGGATTTTGTGAAAACATTTTAAAACTTTCGGGATGTTAGTATAATTTCCGAAACCTTAGAAGTTTTGTGAAAAATCCCAATAACCACATAGGTGTTGATGCATTTTCTGAAACCTTTGAGATTTTGTGCAAAACCAAAAAAGCATGGGGTGTTAGTGGCAATAACTATTTCTCTCTCTTATGAGTTATGGTCCAAGTCCTACTTTCAGACCAAAAAGAAAAAGCTGTCTTATGGGAACGATGTTACCAGTGGGGTCAATCGATCACTAAATTATCTTATGGGAACGATTGTTACCAGTTTAATTAGAGCTAAAGACTAACTTCAAAGAAAAACGAAATACTCAAAGAAATAAATAAAAAAAAAAAAAAAAAAAAAAAAAAAAAAAAAAAAAGATAAATTAGAGATCGAACAAAACCGGTGTTTGAGAACACTAATAAGCAATCAAAGAAATAATAACATACATCTAAAATGATCGAAAGAGACAGTAGACTGGACTTACGAGAAGAGAGATGAAGGCAGGACGTGTTGTGTTGGAGAAGGGAGCAGACGATAAGCAGAGTAGCAGAGGTACCAATTTTGAAAAGCGAAAAGCAGAGAATTTGTAAAGGAGAAGGTCAAAGTTTGAAAGAAGAAAATATATTGATGGTGAGGAGGTGTACTTCCTCTAGAACAAGAGTGCCGAGATGAGGGTTGTGTATATTTAATTTCATTCTCCTCTGGTGTGCTCTTCATCACTCTGACTATTACCATCAGGTTGACTAACTTAATCACAACAGATTTTCTTATTATAATGAGTAAAGGAGTCGACTTGTTGAAAAGGGAAGTCGTTTTAGAATTCTGGCTCTAGGACTTGTTCTTTTTTTCTTTTGAGCCAGTGGTGTTTTTGGAGATCTTTCCTCTGTGTACGTGGTGCACAAGTTTTTTTATTTTTTTATTGTGTTCAATTGAAAAAATGAGTGCATATGTTGCATTAACTAGCAAAAGAAAAGGCTTCAATTTCACCACTCATCATCTGCCAAACAAGGAAAAAAGAAAGGATCTCACTTCTCATTTTGTAAATATATAAAATAGAACTCAATCTGTTGTCAAATAACATATTTGGACAGAGCTATAACATGGCCAATAACTTGGGATTACAACTTGGGATTTAATCTCTCTCAATCAAGCTTCTGAGTTAATTCAGCCATGGCTTCTATCACTCTTCATGACAGTCCAACATTTTTCAGCTCCCATACATCACTTCTTCAGTTCAGGACCACTCTAGATGACACTTCTAAAAACATCAGAACTTCTGCAAAAAGTTCCAAAGAAATTTGTAATGAAATATGAAGAGAATTTATCAAGTCCAATGCGTCTTGAGCTTCCAAGTGGTGCGAAATGGAAAATAAAACTCACAATATGCAATTGGTTTAAAACAAGGGTTGGCCAAAGTTTTGCTCTCTTGACTTGTCTAATTGGCTAGTATTTGGATATGAAGGGAACTCAAAATTCCACGTTTTTCTATTTGATAGAAGTGCTACGTACAGAGGTACAAATATCCCATAACAAAGCCCGAGATTGAAGAAACGGATTATAAAGAAGAAGATGATGATAAGTCTATTGAAATCTTGGATGGTTTTCGACCCTACCCAAGAAAAGCAAGGGAGAAATCTCCATTGCCATGTCCTCAGCGGCACAAGAAAATGAGTCAATGTGGCAAAGCATAATCCAACATCAACTTTACACCAACAAGGAGTCAAACTTCTGAAATGATATTTGAGAACTCACTGAGAACCAAGGCTTCAGATTGCTCCAAATCAGAAATGAAAATACCATAATTGTCATTGATGAAAAGACCATAATCGTCACTCAAATTATTGCCCCTGACAAATGCCCTCCAACCTTGCTGGAATTGAGCCTTCGGTTTTGAATATGTGAACTTAACAGACCAAGTTCCTCCGTCCAACACCTTAAGTATGGCATTACCAGCAGGCTGCTTCATAAGATGTCTCTTACCAAACCTACTACTTTTGTGAAGAAAAAAAAAAAAAAAAAAAAAAAAAAAAAAAAAAAAAAAAAAAAAAAAGAAAGAAAGAAGCATTAAGACAATAAGAACAGATTTGAAGAGAAAACATTGATTTATGATTTTGCTTACTTTTCACGCTACGACCTTAAATTAGAATATCAAAATGGTTGAAATATTTTTATAGAAAGCTTACCAAAAGACCTTTGTGGAGGTACGATGGATGCATCACAACAGTGAAAGAAGGGCTTGCAGATTCAAAAGCAATAGCTCTTAAAGAGCTATAGCTTTTCCACTTGTGTAGTTGATGCATGCATCCTCCCAACACCATCTTTGACATCTGGTGGTGCTAATGGAGATTTGCCCCCTGATTTTGGGCAGGGGGGGAACTTGTCCAAAGTTTCAACACAATCATCATCTGATTCATCTTCCCCTGTTCAAGATTTTAATAGGAATTATTGCAAACTAGAACATAATGAGACAAAACACAATAAGGTAAGAAACAAAAGAAGAAGAAAAATGCATATATTCCTTACTTTTCATTTCTGATTTGGAGCAATCGGAGGCCTTGTTTCTCAGTGAGTTCTCAAACATCATTTCAGAAGTTTGAGTCCTTATTGGTCTAAAGTTGATGTTGCATATTCTGCTTTACACATCTTCTCATTTTCTTATGCGGCTGAGGACATGGCAATGGAGATTTCTCCCTTGCTTTTCTTGGGCAGGGTCGAAAACCATGCAAGATTTTAACAGAGTTATCATCTTCTTCTTCATAATCAGTTTCTTCTATCTCGGGATTTCTTATTCTACCTCTGTAGCGTTTCTATCAAACATAAAAACATGGAATTTGAGTTCCATTCATATCCAAAGACTAGCCAATTAGCTTAGCCAAGTGTGCAAAACTTGGAGAACTCTATCGAACCCTTGCCTTAAACCAAACCCCATCGTTATTTCATCTTCTGAATTCTATGTCCCATTCTACACCACTTGGAAGTTTAAGATGTACTGGAGTTGATAAATGCTCTCCGTTGTTTCATCACAAACTTCATTGGAATTTTCTGAAGAACAGAACATGTTAAAGCTTCAATTAAAATAACAAAAGAACTGAATATCTCAATAATCAGAAAACATTCTTAGCATAATATTTATATATATATATATATATATATAAAGAGAGAGAGAGAGAGGTGCTTACCATTCTGATGGTTTTAGAAGCGTCGTATGGGATGGGAGCTGAAAATGTTGAACTGTCATGAAGAGTGAGAAGCCATGGCTGAATTAACTCAAAAGCTTGATGGAGAGATGTTTGCCCTTTTATGAAGATGAAGATTGAAGATTAGGGATTGAACAAACATTATGTTTAGTTTCATCAGTTTCAAACTGAGGAGCTGTGAGGAACTAGTTCTTCAATTGTGGTAACGACAGCTGTTTGGTTTTGGAGATTTTAAAGAGAAGAAGCTCTTTGAGAAAGACAAAACAGAGCAAGGATTCTCTTGTTTCATTAAGCCAGCTGGAAAAGTGACAAACAGAGCCAACAACGTCCAAATCAGCAAGAACGCATCACGATTTGGAAAGACAAGACCTGGTACAAATTTCAATAAGCTCTCCCTACTATAGAAATTGGCCATTTTTCAATACTTGACGCTAGGCATGTGAGATACATGTAGCTGGGTCAGAAGTGCAGCTGCAATCAGAACCCTGAACTAATTTGATTGACCCAATACAAAAGAAGCAAAGTATACGATTGACACAGTTGCTTCAAAAACAAGCTACCACGGATGTCAGACATTACAATTGGAACCAAGAGATTACTTGTAGCAGTGGTTTAGTTGTTGTGTTGCGTGTACAACATGCATGTAGCATAAAAATCTTCAGTTAAAAGAAGGGAGTTGTGGGTGACTAATTCATAGTGGGAGGGGAAATTATTCATCACATTCGGCAGGCAGTGCATTAATCCTTATAAAAATAAGGGCTTCTTAGATCTATGTCTAAAACGATTAGCTATCATTGGGTTTAGTCCACGTGTTTTTTATTTTAGATGCAAGTCCTTAAACATTTATTACTTTTTTTGTTGTGTCAATTTTACCCTTTGAGGTAAATAAGGAAAACACATTTAAAATCTAAATTTAATGCATTATTTCCTTATAATTGAATTTCTTAATTTAAATTTTGAATTCTTTCCTTGATAATATTTACCTAATATATGCACAAAATACAATTTAATTAATGAAAAGTAAAGACCCACATATTATACCAATCGATCAGACAAACACCCACATGAATTTATGTACCTGACATATAGGTAAATAATGTTATTATTAGCAATGAAAAAAACGTAGTGATAAATCGTGTTACCTATAAGTTAGGAACCTAAATTAAAAGACTACATATAAGTTAGGAACATAAATTAGAAGACTACCAATAAGGTAGATACAAAAATAGACAAATAAAAATTGTATGTTACCTATAAAAAAAAATGAACATAAAATACTATTATTGTCGAAAATATGAAAAAACACATATATATATATATACCTATGCAATAGGCAATAGAACAATATACCTACACTATAGGATTTCTACTATATATATATCTACAAGAGTATGTAATATACCTCTACCATAGGGTGAATAAAAATAAAAATTGTTACCTATAACTCATGTACTAAACGATGTGTTTGCAAACTGATCTGGTTTTTCCTTGCATGCTTCAAATGATCTGGTTTTCCTTACATGCTTCGATTGGAAACCGCAGAAATGCGTAGGTAGTTGTTTTAGAGGGAAATGCCGTTTCGGATCATTATTGATCCTTCTAGCTGCAAGTAGATCAAGTTCTCTTTCTCTCTCAAGTTGAACCCTTTGTGTCTTACAATATAAATTTAGCAAATGAATGTCATCATCCATCACTACCTCTCTTTGATCTGCTCTTGCGTGTGATGTATGTTTCTGTGTGCATACAAAGGTACTAAAAGTTCCACAATCAAATGTTTTAGTCGACAATGTATAATAGTTTGTAAGAACGTAATTTTTGGGATATGTTTGCGATTTTTTTCCTTTTCTATTTAATGACAAACGTTATAAATGGCTAATTATTATCACATAAATTACTATTAGACAAAAGTTATAAATGGCTAATTATTATCACATAAATTACTATTACTCGATTCAAAGCATAAGGGGCAATATTGGAACAGAAAATGATTTTAAAAAATTAAAAATAAAAAGATTACATCATAAAAGATTAAAAAAGGAATGTAATCCTATGTGGCACAAAAGTCAAAGAACTTGTATCAAAGTCACCAAATCTGAGGATTAAACCCAACTTCTCAATGGAAATTTGGATCTATATCAACTTTTCTATAAAAATAAATGCATACAATTTTTTCCTTTTTTTATAATCGATATTGAGGGAGAGGAGGGGGATTCGAACCAAGGACCTTGGATGTAGGGATAAATGCTCTTAATCAGTTGAACTACAAGGCCCTTACAAATGCATACAATTTTTAGAATAAATGTTTCCAAAGTCCAATATGAGCCAATCAGCCCTTGGCACCTATGATTACATAAAAATGAGAAAATAAACTACTCTTACATGTTGATGTTGGAAAGCCTTATCTACACTTAAACTCTAACATGGATTCAATTATTAATGGGATAATAAATCATCGATGTAATTAACTTCATGAGGTTGAATCACAGCCATCCATCAAGATTAAAATTCAAATTAGAAGACACAACAATTCTTGGTTTTATATCATTTAAACCAAAACATAAAAACCCTCCAGACCTTCACTAGATTATTGATGCAACAGGTTTCTACAATTGCCAAATAGTGGGAAGAAAACAGTTTAATTATTAATTATTCATGCATAAATTCAAATTGACACATTAAATTGGAGTCTGGCATGAGTGCTTGTTATTTGTTTCCATGAACTCTATTTCCCCTTGAGACAAGACAAAATGATTGTCTATCTCTTGCACACAACACCTTGACCATCCATTCCACTTGCACAGCTCAAGCTTGGCAACTCCAAACCCTCCAAAGAATTAGCTTCACTTCCAGAGCCAACACTGCCACCATTAAACCTTGCAATGGTGCAATCCATGGCGAAAAGGCTGGAAGTTTCAAACTCTCTATCCCCTCCCATCACCGGCATGTTGGCTCCAATGTTGACCCGGCTCACATAATCGGGTCTGTAAGTTTGACCCAACACACCACTCACTTGGTTGCTCAAAGAGAAGAACTTAAACCCAAGATCAAGATGAGCAAATGTGTCATCTTTGGTAATGCCATAGTTGTGAATCCTTGAGTCTTCTTCGGTTATGGGCACAACCTTGGCTGTGATCCTAAAGCTCCCTTCAACTTCAACCATCACATTGTTGGTGCCACCCACCCTGGTAAGGGATACAGTTGGAACACTCGTGGATTGCCACCTGGCGCCTTCGGATTCAGGAAGGGTGATGAGCTCGCCATCAAAGGAGAGGGCAAGGCGGTCAGCGTAGTCGTCCCACGTGGCAGTCTTTTGGGCACCGAGGAAGAGCTGGTGTTTGCCAAAGAGGATGGCAATAGACTGGACCCAAGTGAAGTCCCTCTTCATGTTGTGGTTGCGCCTGCCGATGAAGTGAGCGTTGATGTGGAGGTTGGGGTCGGATAAGAGGCAGAAATCGCGGTCTTTCTTGCCGTGGAAGTAAAAGGTGATGCCATCGCCGCCTATGAAACGGGGGTCTTGGCACACTGCTCCTGGCTGATCACACTCTGCGCCATTTACCAAAAGAGAAAGAGAAGTATTTTCAGAACTAATATATAAAAATTTATCCTAGTTACTTGCTCATATGAATTATCACTACCCTTCTATTTTGAAAGTTTTGAGACCACATTAGCTTATCATAATATGTGATCATGACTAATCATAAAGATAAATGTGAGAGGAGACTTACTGCAGACGGGTTTGCAAGTGACACAGTCAACCTCACATCCACCAGGGCAAGAACTGGGGCATACATGTTCTATGTTGTAACATTGGGGGTAGTACTTGTTCTTGCACTTGGCCTTCTTTGGTGAGGTAGAAGGAGTTGGAGGAGGAGAAGAGGAAGTAGGTGGAGATGGTGTAGGAGTTGATGGAGGAGGAGAAGAAGTAGTTGGAGACGGCACAGGAGGTGAAGGAGTAGGAGGAGGTGATTGGTAATGTGGTGTCGGCAGTGGTGGGGAAGGTGAAGGCGAGGGAGTAGGAGGTGTTGGAGTTGTAGTTGGTGGTGTTGGAGATGGAGTTGTGGGTGTGGGGGTTGGTGGAGATGGTGGTGGAGTTGGTTTAGCATGAGGAGGAGGAGGGGAATAATATGTTGGTGGTGGAGTTGGTTTAGCTTGAGGAGGAGGAGAATAATATGTTGGTGGTGTAGTTGAAGTGGTGGGAGAAACAGGTGGAGGAGGGCTTGAGGCCCCAGAACAGATGGGCTTACAAGAGACACACTCCACTGTGCATTTATCAGGGCAAAACTTGGGGCACACATGCACAAGATTGTAACAATGCTTGTATTTTTTTATCAAACACCTTGCATTGCTTGGATTCTTAGCAATCCCTGGAGGAGTTTTTGCCTCTGCTGCTGCCATTAGCATCAGCAGGAGAATTGGAACAACAACTTGCATTTTGAAATGAGCCATTTGGAGCAAAACCCTTGAATTAGTTCTCAGTATATTCAAGGGAATTCAATTTGGTGTGTTTGAGTGAGAAACCCAGTGTTTGAATGCCCCTATTTATAAGATCAAAAAGGACCTATCTGTTGCCTAGTATTTCGGATCATAAACTTCACAAGTCACTTCCACATGGTATCTTAAAAAGTCAAATCACATTGACTCCCTCTGCACAACATTTGTTAAAATCGCTTGATGTTGCCTTGCAAATGGCATCACTTGGACATGAAGGAAAAAAGAAAACACTTCAAAAATTCTTCTCTTTTCCCATGGCTTTTCTTCTTTTACTGGCTACATAAATGGTATGGCTTACGCGACCCAATTGAGCTTTACAACCATGCAGTATGGTTTATGAGTTAAGGCACCAGAACAGTTCACACCACTAAAAGCCTACATCAGAATTATGATAATTAATAAGCATCTATATGCCCAGGTTCAGTTTTTCACTTTCATTTTAAGCAATTATCTGACCGACCCTACAATAATTCAGTATTTGAATAATGATATGATGTTTTTGAAGTAATGAATTAATCAAGTTATTAGAAAAACAAATGAGTTATTCAATTGAGAATTTGTCAAATGGGTACAAATATATGCATGGAAATTATAATAAGTTTATAGCTCCTCTCATGCATTAACCAATTGATCCTTACTTATCCATTATCCTTTAAACACCTTTTTTTTTTCTTTTTTCTTTTTTTAATAGTACAAGCGATAGTCTAAACTACAGCCTATAAGGGAGGGGGCACAACCAATATGTCATGGGAGTTTGAACCTGAGACCTCTAATCTACAAGTTAAGGTCATTTTTCACAAGGCTAGACCCATTGAAAAGCAAACAATGTAATTGATCTGCTATATGTGCTACTATATATTCTGAGAAGATGGTCCATATTTAGGTAGTAATTAAAATACAGAATTGGTTTTTATTTCCAATTATACTTCCATCTATGTAGCTAGTAAAGTTATTTCTTGCTAGTCAGATAAATATATAGTCTCATCTTGTGGGTAGTTGGGGAAGTGGCTAGCTTCCATGATATCTCCATATAATCAATTATTATGCCATCTTTTCTGCTTTTTTCTTTTAATCTAAGTTGAAAAAGAAGTTTTGTTGGACTCTGAATCATGAGCAGAACAACAAGGTCTAGCTAGATGCCATATACAAGGGGCACCTCTACATACCAACCACAAGATTAGGAGCAATATCCCTAACTTTTGTACTGCTTCTTTATTCCTTTCAACACCTCTGGAGACTATCTCTCTGCTCCTGCAAGTAAGTTTAAACAAGTTTCTATGAGCAAATATATATATACAAACAGTATTTAAATTGATTCAAAGGAAAAATGTACCCATAATGATGTGTTCTGTCATTAGCTTAAATATTAGGCTTGGCTTTACACCAGTTCAGATATAACTGCCAATATATTGACTCAAATTAAGTTATGGCTTTGTACTTACAAGGATCATCTCATTTGATGAGGATGCATCTTGTTGGTGCTCCTTCAGCACCAAGCAACCTTAGAGGCAAGCAATGCACAGAATAGTTTCCGGGTTGGATGTCGTCAAGCTTTAGGCCTTCCACAGGAATGATTTCCTGAGCCATATATTAGACTTAAAAAGAGCTTAATCAAATTCCAATTACATTGTAAAGAAAGTCAGGAAATCATAGACAAACTTGATTTGAAAAACAAAATATATATCTTGCCTCTGATTTTTCTTTTTAAAAGAACACATAGAAGAAGCTTTATTCTATCAAATAGAGAATCTTACCCTGCCTCTGAGAAAGGCAACATGAGCTGGAATTGCTTCATCATAGGTGGCAATGGAAAAGTAATCAGTTCCTACATTCATAGTCAGGAAAATCAGTGCAATCACAACCATTTGCTTTCAAAATGGTCAGAAACTTGATTATTTATATCAACCTCAACCCAAAAACAACACAAAAAAAAAAAAAAAAAAAAAAAAAAATTAGTGTTACCAACAAGTTTGATGTCTGTGTTGTCGACTACCCATTTTGCTCCATCCTCCGTGAATCCCACAAAGCTCGAGTCGAATTCCTTTCGATGCATAAGCCGCCTATACAACGGAGAAATGATTATCAGTTTTATGATATGTCTTGTTTGCAGTGTTCATTTTGTTAATCAGATTCAGCATACAGATATAAAATCTTAATTTGCAGTGTTCATTTTGTTAATCAGATTCAGCATACTGATATAAAATCTTAATTACTTAATCTGAAATCCGAAACGCTTAATCCTTAAATCCAAACCGCCGTCGTTTTGGACATAAGCACAATTCAGCACAAAAGCAACTATCAAAGAACCCGGCGTCATATATATATTTCAAGAAAATTACAAAGAAAATATAAGTAGACAATCTTTTTTTCATTTTGCGTTACCTGTCAGTATTCAATGTCTTGAAAAGGACCCGGCGTGTACCCTTGGGAATATTTAGGGACTTCATAACTTCAGCTGTAAAAGGTAGGCATTATGCATTTGAAAGGCTTCCAAAAAAAATTTTAAAAAAAATACTTGAAAATTCAGATTAAAATTTGAACAACACCAAGTTAGAAATGCATACCAGTTATGTTGCTATCTCTGGGAACATCAACAACAAGAGCAGGACCCGTTGAAAAAACAATTATACTGAGCATATATCATCAACAGATAGAACAAATTACTTTGTTGTTCTAAGTATCATGCATAATTACCATTGAGGACATCCAGGTCAAGCTGATCAACATCAAACCCTGCGTCAAAGTAGTCATTAAAAACATGGCCAGGGGCATCAACATGGGTTCCAGCGTGGGCAGGCAGGTCGAACTCAGAGTTGTTGGTGAGAGAAGCATTCTTCATGGAGAGCTGGAGCCACAGGAAGTGGCCGATCCCATTCTTGGAACCATAGAAAGGAATGTCCGGTGTGTACCTGTGGGTGATGTCAAAGATTCTCCCATTGCCGTACACTTCTCTCCGTACGGGTTTCGGGGTGTTGCCACCGCCAACTGTAGACGGAGAAGGAAGCGAGGAAGAAGCAAGAGAGTGTGAGCAAAATGGAAGGAAGAACGGGTTGGTGGTGGTTCATGGTTTTGGGCATGGTGGAATGAGAGCAGAGAGGTTGTGTTAAAGGTTGAAGTAAGTAAGAGGTGGTGGTTTTTTATGAGTAATAAATCAATAAAGTTAATGGTAATTAGTGATTCTAAATTGCAATCAAATTAAAGTTAATGGGTGCCAGATTGTTTTTATCTTTAGGATTTTTCGCAGCTATGGTCCATCAACTATACCCATAATTGCATTTGGGTCACAGAACTCAATTATTAGTTGCAGAAGTCACTCAATTATGTGTTTCGTTGCACTAGCAATCCTTCCGTCAAGTCCGTTAGTTTTTTCCATTTAAAATGATGACGTGGCAAGATCTATCCAATTATTGATGACTTTTCAGTTATGATTATTTGTAGCAATGATCCCTCAACTATACTCGGAGTTACATTTTGATCACTTAACTCCAAAAAATAGTTATAGAGGTCACTCAATTAGGTGTTGTATTGCATCATTAGTCCCTTCCGTTAGAGAGACTTGACGATAAGGACTAATGGTGCAACGAAACACATAGTTGAGTGACATCTGCAACTAATAATTGAGTTCAGTGACCCAAATGCAATTACGGGTATAGTTGAAGTACCATAGCTGCGAAAAACCCTTATCTTTATAAGTGCGTTGACGCTTTTTTCTAGACTTGGGCAACCTCTAGTTCAATTATTTAATCTTCTGTAATCAGTTTCGAGAAGCATCCATGACCTATCACAGGAGTTGCGTATAGCAATTCTGCATTTGGTCCAACAATAGTACTGGAGACACTATGTTTGCTACACCAAATTTTAGTTTTTTGTGTGCCAATTTTCGTTTTCGTTGTGAATGAATAAGGTTCAGTGTCTCAGTGAGTTCATAACTATTTGCTGTGAACGATAGTACTAACAGTCAATTGATATCTTAACATTTGTATAATAAGTTGGTGTCTCAAGTACTGATATAGTGGATCTTATTATTTTCCCGTTTAATACTTGTATTACACACATATGTATGTATTTTTTAATAATATTTTTAGTTTATGTTCACATCTTAAAGACTCAGAAAAATACAAGTTTTTTTAAAAAGCTAACATACAATACACGTATTATACAAATACATACATATTTTTCACATTTAATACATGTGGTTTATACAAATTTTTGAATAATATCAACAAATTACATTATATAAATAATATAAATTAAAATATTATATAGTGACTTAATTTTTCGGTTGTATCTTGCCAAAATTTTACTGAATAAAACACATACCTATACCTATTTTGTTCATACTTTCCTCATTCCGTAGTTTACTAAACAGATAACTGAGAAAGACAAAACAGAGCAAGGATTCTCTTGTTTCATTAAGCCAGCTGGAAAAGTGACAAACAGAGCCAACAACATCCAAATCAGCAAGAACGCATCACGATTTGGAAAGACAAGACCTGGTACAAATTTCAATAAGCTCTCCCTACTATAGAAATTGGCCATTTTTCAATGCTTGACACTAGGCATGTGAAATACATGTAGCTGGGTCAGAAGTGCAGCTGCAATCAGAACCCTAAACTACGCAGGAAAAGGAATGTGGAAGTTGCAGCAGGAGAGGCTACCTCGTCGTCTCAACTTCTTTGGAGAAGAGTTTCACATCTAGAACTTTTAAGGGGCACAAATGAATTTAATGAAAACAACCTACTTGGAAGTGGGGGTTTTGGTTCAGTATGTAAAGGGACACTTTCAGATGGAATAGATGTTGCAGTAAAAGTTTTCAGTTTACAGCTAGAAGGGGCTTTCAAGAGTTTTGATAGGGAATGTGAAATGATAAGCAATATTCATCATCGAAATCTTATCAAAATCATCAACTGTTGTAGTGAAGTTGATTTCAAAGCCTTGGTACTAAACTACATGCCTAATGGGAGCCTCAAAAAATGGTTGTATTCTCAAAACTCTTCTCTGAGTATCCTAGAGAGGACGAATATAATGGCAGATGTTGCAACGGCAGTGGACTACCTTCATCATGGTTATTCAATACCTATTGTCCACTGCGATTTGAAGCCGAACAATATACTACTAGATGATGATATGGTTGTGCATGTTGCCGATTTTGGAATTGCAAAACTCTTGGGTGGAGGAGATTCTATAACCCAAACCATGACCCTAGCCACAATTGGGTATATGGCTCCATGTGATATACTTGCTAATTTAATATCTTTCAATTCTATACATGTTGTCCTTAATTATGTATAATTTTCATTTCATCATACACATGAATATATAAGTATAATTCATAATGCAGAGTATGGATTGGAAGGAATGGTTTCAACAAGAGGGGATGTGTACAGTTTCAGAATTCTAGTGATGGAAACATTCACAAGAAGGAAGCCAACAGATGAGATGTTTGATGGGGAAATGAATATAAAGCAATGGATTGCAAACTTACTAGTATTACCAGATGCAAAGATAGATGAAGTTGTGGATGCCAATTTGCTTGGGATTGGGACAGAGCAGGAAGATGATGATCATGTGAGGAAGAGGGATTGCATATCAGCCATTATAAGATTAGCTCTTACTTGTTGTGCAGAATCACCAGAAGAGAGGATAAGTATGAAAGAAGTTGTAGCCACACTCAACAAAATCAAGACAAAGTTTTTGAAGGACGCTGCTGCATGAAGAGGTGTGCTGTTAAACCGTCCTCTTGTTCAACAGCACTTCAATTAATGGGTCCTATCCTATGACATGTATTTCATGCACTTTGATTTGGTCAATTTTAGTCTTTAATTTAGACAATGTGGAGGAAGGCATGAACTTTTATTTCGGTTTTTGACTGATTTTATGGTGGGGTGTCTAGACTTATTAAATAATATACTAGTCTTGGTAGTTGTTATGGTATCAGTATGAAAGGAGGATTTGTTGTGTTGTGTTGTGTTGTGGCTGCAACCACGACCTCTTGGGAGCTCCACAACTGCTTTCACCGTGCCAAGAGGCAAAAAACAGCTGATTACGGCAGCCAGGCCTCCCACCCTATTTTTGTTGTGTAAACCAACAAGTTGGGTTTGGGCCCTTTTGGGAGCTATTAGCCTATAAGCTCAAATCATACACACTTGATACTATGACGGGCCTAAGCCTAACAAACCAAAACACAACTAAATTTGCGTAGACAAATCAATCCACCTACCTTAAGAGCACTTCCAGCAGTTGGAATCTTGCCAGGGGGGGGGGGGGGGGGGGGGGGGGCTGACACTATTCATAGGAATAGTGTCTGCCCTTGCAAAAAGTAAATTGCACTTCCAGCAGTTGCCATGGCAAGGGGGGGTACTATTCAATTTTTTTGTTTTTTTCACAAATTTGTTTACCTAAACAATTAATTTGGACAATATTTTCGGATGAGATTTTTTGATAAAATATTCGGATAAGATTTTCATATAAGATTTCCGGTTTCAAATTTCAGATAAATCTTTTTTTTCAAACCCGATATAAATTTAATCTGAATTTCAAATTTCAGATAAATTTCATTTGAATTTCAATTTCAGATAAATTTCATATGAATTCAATTTCAGATAAATTTCATCCGAGTTTCAAATTTCGGATAAGATTTTTACCCTATAAAATTGCGCCACGTGTCATCTGAATTTCAAATTTCAGATAAATTTCATTGGAATTTCAACTTTTCATTTGAATTTCACATTTCAGATACATTTCATTTGAATTTCAAATTTCGGATAAGATTTTCACCCTATCAACTTGCGCCACGTGTCATGTCTATCGACCTAAATTTTTCTATAAAACAAAAGCTCAGCTCACAAACCTCTCACACTACATCTTCTCAAAAATTTCAGTTCTCATATTTTAGATTTCATATTTCATCTTCCATTCACAATGTCAGACATGGAGGAGGTCTTGGAGAGGCAAGAGCGAGAAATAAGAGAAAGAAGGCGTAGACGAGCAGCAAGCAAAAGAGCGCAGAGAGATCTAGATCAGCAACTTGTCATGGCTGTGGCCATGCTTGATGAAGAAAACCAGAGCAGTCGTGGTTCACATGAAGGCCGTGCCCCAAATGTTGACAGACATAGGCATTCTCGGGGTAAGAATCTTATGGAAGATTATTTTATCCCAACATCTCTGTACTCTGATGTTCATTTTCGAGGGAGGTATAGAATGCAACAACATTTGTTCAATAAAATCATGCATGATATTTGCAATTATGATGAATACTTTGTTCAAAAGAGAAATTGTGCTGGTGTTTTGGGACTGCTTCCCGAACAAAAGTTCACAGCTGTTATACGAATGTTGGCGTAAGGTGCATCTGCTGATCAAGTGGATGAGATTGCCCGGATGGGGAAGTCCACTGCCTTGGAGAGTTTGGTTAGATTTTGTGATGCAGTCGAAACTCTGTACACCAGGGACTACCTGCGCCGACCCACGCCCAGGGACCTGCAACGACTTCTGCAGAAAGCCGAACGGAGAGGATTTCCAGGAATGATTGGTAGCATCGACTGCATGCATTGGCAATGGAAGAATTGCCCAACTGCTTGGCAGGGTGAGTACGGAAATCGGAAAGGCCAAAAAAGCATCATCCTTGAAGCCGTTGCAGGTTTCGATACATGGGTCTGGCACGCCTTTTTCGGAGTTGCTGGATCTCAAAATGACTTGAACGTCCTGGGTCAATCCCCGGTGTTCAATGATGTTTTGAGAGGAGAAGCCCCAAAAAATCACATATGAAGTCAATAATACCGTCTACCAAAGTGGGTATTATCTAGCTGACGGGATCTACCCGAGGTGGACAACATTCGTGAAATCACTTTCGCATCCCCGAACCCAGAAGCAAAAATTATTTGCTACATATCAAGAGGGTTACAGAAAGGATGTGGAGAGGTGTTTTGGTATCCTCCAAGCTCGGTGGGCGATCATTAGGGGTGCGGCACGTATGTTTGATGAGGAGGTGTTGAGGAGCATCATGATGACATGCATCATCCTTCATAACATGATTGTGGAGGATAAGTATGATTACGAAGCTGAAGAGGTGTACGAACCCGATCCCATGAACACGGCCTTGACCCGAATT